ATGTGTAGATTATTTTAACCTGTCAGTTTAGAGGCAGGAACACAGGAGGTAGATGCTTGTATTTTCTTTCTCATGACATAAACAAAATGACATTAATGCTTGGGACAAATTAAAACAGCTTTTACTAGTCTTATAGGTGATGTAAATTTTTAGATTTTTTTTTTTCTTTCTAAAAACAGAAATAAAAAGGTAGTTAGTTAAAACATAGAAAAAATGTAGTAGGAAAAGTATATGAAAAATGTCATTCTTCCTTTGGGTTCTCTGAGTAATACACATGTAAATCAGTAATGTACACATGTAAATCAGTAATGTACTCATGTATATCAGGAATGCACTTCTGTCCATGTTACAGGAAGTAGGAATTATTGTTAGCACATAAAATACTTTTGAGTTTTAACTAAAATTGTCACTACTATAGGAAGAGTGAGGATATTTTAGAATGAGAGTTACCCTCAAGTGCCTGGAAATGCTACAGGACAGCAAGAAACAGCTCTGTGTTTAAAATAGAATGGCACACAATGTTATTAACCTAATGGTTTACTAGCAATGTGGAATATTTGGCAATACATGAGTTTATCTGACAAAACACATCTGTGGTTTGATCCGTGACTTCATGATTTTTTTTTCTCTTTAAAAATGCACATTTTTTTTCTCCCCTGTTGCTCTGTAAATTAGTCCACTAAAATGTGGGAATAAGGAAGTTTCTTAGCCAGGTCAGCATAAGCTTCTTGAAGGTTCTGGTGGATAAAGTGGATAAAGCTGTTTGCCAAGGATTTGTGCTGTCACTCATCCTCTCTGCCCCACATTATGTTCCTGGTCTTCCAAACTGGCTTGCCATTGCTCCTGAGTGCAGAAGCCAATTAAGGAAGAGAGATAAAAAAGTCCAATCCAAAACGAAAAGGAAACAAAAAGAAAACCCCACGCCAAAGAAAACCAGCATAAAAGACAAACAGATCTAAGTGAATGTACAGAAGGAAGATTTGGAACTAAACCAATAACCCAGCCAGGTGAGACTGAATTGACAGCTCTAACAGCATGGGAGGGAGCAAGTTCACTTACTGTCCTTGAAATCAGGATCACACTGAACTCAAGGTTAGATGTGTACAAAGTAATGACAACCAGAGCAGCATAGCATTCAGTGAGGTGTAAAATAAAAGAGAGGGTGTATTGTGCTGCTGCCTCTGCTTATTGCTTAAGGTAGCAAGATACCCTTTTGCCTTCAGTATATGCATGCTTAATTTGGCACCACTAAGGTACAGCAAAGATGACCTGAATAGTTGTGTGTGTTATCTGGTGCAGCTTGTCCGTTTCTGCAACTTGGGCAAACTCATTTTTAGCTAGCTTAGATTTTTTGCATTATGTTGCCTTTGTCATCCATCTAATTGCATCAGGAGGATTCGCAGAAGGCCACAGCCTGTCAGAAGTGATATTAGGGAAGCAGGAGTAAAAAAATGTGGCAAATTACTCTCCAGTGGTGCCTGGTTCTGTACTAACAGCTAAGCTGTTTTACAAGGCAAAATATGTCTGCAGTGGTGAAAATCCCACCTAGCAAACCTTTCTCATCCTGTTTCTGGCCTTAGAACTGAGACCAGAGCCAATAACCAGGCTGTTGCCATCTCTGTTCCTAACAGAAGGAGCAGCTGGAGGTTGCCCAGCACATTCCTCACCATTAGTCCACTGTCTGAGGCTCTTGAGTGGGAATGCATGTTGCCTTGTCTCCAGCAAGGATCCAAACTGTCCGGTTGCAGACAAATGATTAGTGAAGGCTAATCTGGTGTTTGCCGAGTTTACAGTGGCTTGGCCATTCCCCTTACAAATTCTGTGGTGTTGCTTCAAAAGAAAGTAGTTCTTGGGGAAAAAAAAATTACTCTCTTCTCCAAGTAACATGCAGGACTTTGTGGTAACACTCATGTGTCCCATCTTTTTCTTTCTTGCACTCATCTTTTAGATATTCCTGCCATTTAGATACAAAGATAATTTTATCCAAAAAAAGCAGCCTCCTCAGGAGCCCTATAACGAAAGCATCCAGATCGGACAAACCTGTAAAATAGTGTTGACCTCATCTTCCATGATCAGATCATCAGTTCTCAACAGCTTGTTTTATCAAGGTAACCAAGGAAGCAGGATTATTCCTCATTTAAGCTGACTTTCACAGCAGTAAGCTAGAATGCTGCATCCAGACTGCTAAACATATTATAAATGAAGGGATTCTGGTTTGCTCTGTGTTTGAACATTTCTTTTTGTTTTGTGGGTTTTAACTCCTCCTCTGTCAACTCCAGAAAGACCAAGACCATTCATTTTGCTGTACTCCCAAAAATATGCAGTTAGGTGAATTTGGCCGTGATTCTCACTGGCTTCTGGATAATAAAGACATTTTGGCCTCTTGCTAAACCCCAGTCATCTCATTTTTAATTCCAAATCCCTGCTGCCTGCATGTCTTCTGCATGTCTTCAAGCCCGAAAAGAAACCGCAGCATCCCCCAGCCTGATATGTGCTTTTCCTCGAAAGCCAGAGATTCTTTCTTTCCTAGGTCTGGGAGCAGCAGCAATGTAATTTTCTTCCCTGCTGTGTGGACAGAGAGAAGGCCTCATCATCTCTTTTTCTGTATAAAAGAATTGGCTCTTAGAAAACTTGAGGGTGGAGGCATGTTTCAAGCATTGAATCTCCCTTTGAGACTCCAGGGACAACAGAGATGCTACAGGCTGAGAAAAGCCATGCTTTCCTTTCCCTGGTTGCCATCCCCTCTGTTCTTTACACTTACTGCGATACAAACTCAGGTAATGGCTGCTGCAAAGGGCCAGAGGAGGTGGGAAGCAGCCAGGAGAGAGGTCCACCACCGCATTGGCATGGTAATACTGAAATCAGAGGTGACAGTGCTCTGGGCAACTCTCCAGGTCTTGCTGGCAAAAACTTGCTGTTGTTAGAAAGAACAAGTGTTAGCAGCCTGAGTCAGACTCTCCCTTCTGCCCCAGTCCTTTCCACTAATATTTATTGACTGTTTCAGTATTAAAGACCCAATATAGTTGAGCTCTGATTCAGATTTGTTGGTAATAACCGCCCTAAAGCATAACATTCCTCCTCCCAAGGTGGACAGAAGTCTGTGGAACATCTTTGAGGGAAACAGGGAATTAATCAACAAACCATTCTGGCTGCCTTTACTTTCTTCCTTCTCCTCATCCTGTGGAAACAGTGCTAGCAGCACTTTCCGTGGTGCCTTGCCTCAGATCACCTCTGTCCTGGGATGCTCTCTTCTGAAAGGGGAATGATGAGTTATTGGAGTAACCCTCCCAGGGCTACTCACTCCAGGGAAGAAGGGCAGTAAAAAAGAAAACCAGTTTTATGGAGCTGTGGATGATCTGCTCTGCAGTAATGATTTTTCAATAGGTAGGGAGTTCTCTTATTCTGGTAAAACAATTTGCGGCACTCAACCTTGTTCCCTCTTGAGAAATCTGATGCCCTGGCTAGTGTGTCCTGTGCAGGTAATAGCAACAGCATCTCCAGACAAAGAACTGCACATTTGGGATACCTGTTTTCCTTAAGCAGATGTACGTTTGCACTCAAGTTTGTCTTTGCAATTACCAGCCCTGAACTTCTTGCATAATCGTAAAATGCTCCATACCCTGGTGTTTCTTCTGCTGCTTACTGTAGCCAGCATGGACAAGTAATGAAGGTAGGCTGAAATTACAGTTTAGATTAACATATCATTTAGTCAGCAGACCTGTCAACAAGACTCAGAAGCCCAGGACTGTCTGGAGACACTGCTGAGCTACAGATTCTGATGCCTCCCTGCAGCATAGGGTCAGCTTCTTAGCGGTTTCTGCACTCGGGAGCTTAGCCTTAGCTTTTGCTGCACTTAGACTACTTGAGCATGTGTAGAGGAGGCCATGAAGATGCTGTGAGGACTGGAGCAGCTCTGCTCTGGAGACAGGCTGAGAGAGCTGGGCTGGTTCAGCCTGGAGAAGAGAAGGCTCCTTGAGGGGAGACCTTAGAGCAGCTCCAGTGCCTGAAGGGGCTACAAGAAAGCTGGAGAGGGGCTTTGGACAAGGGCCTGTAGGGACAGGACAAGGGGGAATGGCTTTAACCTGACAGAGGGGAGACTGAGATGAGCTCTTAGGCAGAAGTTCTTCCCTATGACGGTGCTGAGGCCCTGGCACAGGTTGCCCAGAGAAGCTGTGGCTGCCCCATCCCTGGCAGTGTTCAAGGCCAGCTTGGACGGGGCTTGGAGCAACCTGGTCTAGTGGAAGGTGTCCCTGCCCATGGCAGGGGGTTGGAACTGGATGAGCTTTAAGGTCCCTTCCAACTCAAACCAGTCTGGGATGCTATGATTCAGTCTAAGCCTTAAAGTTAGGAATCACATTTCTGGGCAGTTGCATTGGCTTTCTGAACACACATAGTGAATGACAAAGTCTTTCTTTGAAATCTGTTATATAGAGTGAAGTCAGTAGTTCTTCCCAGTTAACAAAGTGTTGGTAATGCATTACTAGCTTTGGTCAGTGTCTTAGTGATAGAGTACAGCAATATCTACAGAAACGCTGAGCTTGCTAAATCCATTTTGCAAAACACAGGGAAGATGTACAGAAAGAAGGAAACATTCTCAGGTTTGTATACCTCTGTTGACTGCCACTCTGAAATCTGTATTTTCCAGGATTTTTCCAGGGCAGCACAGTCTGTCAAAGAAACCCCAGAAATAATATATTTATACAACTTTATCTTCATGACTATGGAGTGAATAGGATGGTCTCTGCCTATATGAGGGGGCATTTTGCCATTATGCCTCTCTGGGAGTATACACACAGAGACATACTTACAGCTAAGTAAATAATTATATAGAACTGGTTTATATACCCTACTACTGCATAGGTACAAAATGATTGCAATGAAATGATGCTGTAGACCTAATGTATAATACAGCTGGTTGCTGCTATGGCATTGAGCATTTCCATTTTGTAAAAGGTAGATTGTGAACTAACTCTTGGTTTTGTTTTCTCCTTGATTCCTAGCAGAAAATGGACCCCGTCTACTTGTGGTAGCAGAGCAAGCTAAAATCTTCTCCCACCGGGGTGGCAATGTCACACTGCCATGTAAATTTTACCATGAACACACATCAACAGCTGGCTCAGGAACCCACAAGATCCGGATCAAGTGGACCAAACTCACCTCAGATTACCTCAAAGAAGTGGATGTCTTTGTTGCAATGGGACAGCACAGAAAGAGCTACGGAAACTACCAGGGCAGAGTGTTGCTGAGGGAAAGCAGTGAGAATGATGCCTCTCTTATAATTACAAATATAATACTGGAGGATTACGGGAGATATAAGTGCGAGGTGATTGAAGGATTAGAAGATGACACAGCAGTGGTAGCTCTGAATCTGGAAGGTAGGTAACATCTGAATCATACTTAAATTCAGATTTCTCAATGTTTATGAATACCTGCCTTTTTCTCCTAATACTGTTAATATTGTATTAACACTGGTAACAGCAAGCTGAGAACTGGGATTCATTGTGCTTTGGGGATTTTTGCCTGACAGCTCATGACAACAATCATAAATCAGAAGAATATTAGGACTTCTATAACTTATGCTAGACTATGGCATATTCTGTTTCTGGTGAGACTTGGTGTGCGGGGAGGAAAAAAAGAATGATCAAACATAGTACAAAGAATTCCATACATTTTTAATGCCCTCCTATCACTTTACAAAAGTCATTGCATGCTTTTACAGTAAACTTAGACAAAATTATATTAAATATTCCCCTAACAGCCATTTTATGGTACTTTGGGACATTTTGGATTACCAAGTAATACAAATCTTCTTAAAAAGCGGTAAAATGTTAAAGTAGTTTTCCAGAGACAACAGTTTCATTTTTTCCAGCCTTATAATTGCATAAAATAGAGTTCAATGTTGCCTGCCAAGACAACCCCTACATGTAGTCTGTAGTCATTTCTCTCAGAAATATTCTTCAAAACAGTAGACTACAAAGCGTTATAAAAATTAGTGAAACAGGTTTAAAAAGAACCAAATACTCAGCTTTCCTTTACTCTTAAGAAATTCAGATAATTTTTGTGAGGTAGAATGCATGTAAACCAACATTTGGCCTTTTTCCCCAAAACACTGTACAGAACTCAGCAGTAAACTAAAAGCTGCGTGAAGCTGTCTCCCTTACCCATATACTTACCAGCAGGTGTGCGTCAGAGAGAACTTTATAGAAATCACTTTGTCTGTGAAAAGTAGTTGGGAATAAAAAATACAAAAGAAGAAAATCAAACCTCTGGCTCTCAAACCATTAAACAAGTGAAATATATGACTCTTTCGTTGAGGGTTATTGTATATTATGATGGTTTTATAGTTACCCTGCACAGTAAGACTGTCTGAGTGGTTTTTGAACCAAACAGATGTCATGGGCTTAGCTTATTCCTTTTCATCTATTCTTCCATTCCTGGTTGGAGATTGCTGAAACCTTCAATTTCTGAATGCAGAAAGGCACTGCAACAGTTTCTAAGCCAGGATGATAGTTGATTTGTTTCACCTCACATAATTCATCTTTGATAAGAATGCATGCTGATCTTTGCACACTTACAGTATAAAACTGAACATACACATGTCCAGTTTAACTTGTCTAAACCAGTTTTGAGTGTAAACAGAAATGAGTAGGAGGAAAAAGCATTTTACTTTATTCTTTCCTGCTAGCCAAGGACTCTTGTGTGTTCAGCCTTCTCTTCACTCAGGCATGCAATGCAGTGATTACTTGTTGCAGATGCTGTTCCTGAGATGAGCCACTGCAGTGAGAGCAGTTTCTGCTTGGAATGTTCAGCTTTCCTTAAGTGAAAGCAAAGCTCTGCTGGGCTGCCCAGGCTGCAGGTAAGGGCCCTGTGACTGGGACATGCATTAAGAGGTGGATAGCCCCAGAGTGTTCCACCTCACAGAATGGTTTCCAGACAATAGTGGTATAAATATAGATGTGGCAAGTACAGCTATTTGCTGCACCTGAGGAATAGCAAGTGCCAGGTCAGAAAAATGCAGCATCTGTTTTAGCTGTGTTTGACCATAACACATCTCTTCTCCTTTCATGTTGTCATGTAGGCAGTCCTGCAACTCTCCCCTGGGTTGCAAGGGTGCTCTGTAACCTATTAATATTCTTCTGTCAGTCTTGTTTCATCCTGAGTACATACCTCTGTTAGTCTTCAACATATTCAGATAAATAACTGCATAACTGTATCAGACACTGAGATCTCCCTGTGTTTTACAGCATTATGGTATTTTGTCGATGTATAAAGGTCAGAGTCAATGTAAAATCTTTAAATTCTTCATCACATCACACATCTGATCAGATACTCATCTGTGCCACTTAGCATTGTGCCACTGAAGCAAAAGTTGATTAGCCTTCTGCTCTTAAAAGCAAGGAGGTTCCAGCACAAATGCTTCCTGGTGTGCCAGGATTTCCTGGGGAAGGATTGATGCTGAGGGCTCTAGTGGCAGATTGGGAAGTTTTGCCTGAAGCTTGGTACATGTGCGCATGCAGAGATCCACGTTTGAAAGACAATATTTGATTAATCCTAGAGTAAAAAAGCAGTGAGAAATCTTTCCTGTACTGCAGACAGTAAGACAACTGAAAAAAGTGAGATTTTCTACCTTTTTTACTGTGACTGTTTCGTGATACAGCACCAGACCATTGGATACAAGGTCTGGGCACCACCTCCTGGTACACAGTATCCTCTCTAGCTTACTGCTGTGACTAAACAGTGTATGTCAACTCCAGCCCATCCTGTCCAAAAGCACTACTTCTTCCTGTTTTTTCTCCACTTCCAATATCAGGAAATTCATAAGGATAGGAGGAACCATATTTCTTCGACCAAGTATGTTCCAATCTCACCTCAACAGAAGTTTATATATTTGAACTACTGTCTGGCTAACATAAGAAACAATTCCTTTTTAATTACTTCTGTCAGATGTGGGGCAGCTGTGAGACTGTTCATTTCTGATGCTATAGGGTGATATATCCTAAACTGACAGGAAAATTTAATTTGCAAAACCTCACTGTAAAACGTACCTGTCAGATAAGACTAGTGAGTGTGTCAGCACCAAACCTGTTTTTGACAATTAAATCCAGTGATTCTGGGTCTAAGCTATAATGAAGTTTCCTTCTGAAGTGATAATGATTAAAATGCACTTATATTTACAATGGACATTAATAGCTGATAGGGTATTTTCCTATATTTGCATGCCTATGCGCTTATTTTTTCATCTCATCTGCAGCTTTATGTAGTGCTGGCTTTACTGTTTCATGTATTTGAGCAATGAAGAGTAGACCAAGAAGAAAAAAAGATCATCTATGGAAATAAATAAAAATATATCAGCCCATTCCAACATTCTATATCTGTTATAAACAATAAGGTTAATCTCACAGTGAGAAGGATTTGCATCAATAGCCTGATTTCCTGAGATGGTGGCCCTAAGGATATTAATTGGCAGCAAGACAAAACCATTTATACCCAGGAATACCCATTAGCAGTGCAAAACAGCTGGTGACTCCGATGTAAGCTCACTGTGCAAACAGTATAGCTTTGGCTAGGTGAAAGCATGTTAATATATCAATATCAATATATCAATAGGAAAATAGTTGACCTCTACTTCAGTGGACCTTTTTTCTTCTTCAAATGTGGGAGCATTTTATTCTTATTAGACTCAAATACTTCCTGAGATCGTCATTAAATAAACTGTTCATAGTAATTGCATACTTTTAGCTTTGAAAAAACAGAGGAATTAGATTCAGTCTGTTTATTGCATACCGTACATGTTTTTGGTATGTTTTCTTCACTATTATTCAATGCAGCACAACATCAAGCATCTGGGCGGGATTCTGACTTAGAGGCATTTAGTCATAAGCCTGCAGATGGTAGCCTTGTGTCAGTGCCTCCTCAGCCAAGCTCAGGCACCAGGGGTCTGAACCTGTGGTTCCTCTTGTACTGAGCAGGATTACTATTGCAACAACACATCATCAGTAGGGTAAAACTAACCTGTCTCATGACGGTCTAACCAGACTTGCATATCCCACTTGCCCTTGGTCATCATGCTTGTGGAAAGCATGGTTAAATCCCTTCCCAAATCTTTGCTCGCAAAGCCAAGCCATCAATCAATTCAATGCAGAATCACACCATTTCCCCCCTACACTAATGAGATAGTGGTGTCTGGTAGCTACAGCTCAGGAGTAGGATTCACTGCAGTATTTCGCAGCCACCAGCTTGAAGAACTATTTGGTCATGCCATGATTACCATCCTGTTGGCCAGCTCAAGTACAAAGTCTAAGGGCAGGAAGGTTGTGCTGGGCATGGTGGCTACAAACAGTGTAATTACTGCATAGAGCAAAACACTTTTTATGACGTCTTTGTCACAAAACCATTTTCTTACTGAACTGGCCTTACTCTCCTCCTGCACATAAAATACAGATCGTAAGTTTTACACTCTGTCAAATGTTCTGAAAGTCAAAACCTTAACAAATTAAAGGCCTCATATGGCAGATAGATATTGTTGCCTGAGTCATAAGCAAAGAAAGAATTGTCAGCTTATATTGAATTTTCTTTATGTTAGTGCTTTACTATTTTTCTTTCTCATGAATACTAGGCACTGTAATAGATCTCACTAGATCAGGTCTGTGTACTTCAGCTTCCCAGCATCTAAAGGTTTCAGCTCGGGTATGCTGCTCAGGCACAGATTTTGTGTACTATTCCGTCATAAGATTCATGGGCAAAGAAAATGGAACAAGGCTAAACTGCCTTTTTTTACTCTATTAGATTTTTTTGTAATAGTTTCAGTCTTCAAGGAGAGACTATAACTGAACACATAAGTTTTGCAATCTGGCTACAAAATAATTACTTTTTGCAGTACTAGAAATATGCAGGTCTAGATAAAGCCACTAAAAATCTCTGTAGAAAGATGCTTCTAAATAGAAGCTAACTGAGCGGCTCCACATGAACCAAAAATCTCATCAGGTTTTATGATCTCACTTAGAGGTATGTTAGCTTTTATGTCCAAGATAGAGTTAGAAAAAGAACAGGAACCTCTCTCAAAAACACACTTTGTAGTTCAAAATAGATCAAACAAATCTGCAAGCTTCATATAAGCAAATTCTTCCAAATCGTTACAACGATCATTTTCTAATCTAGTCACTTGCCTTAGGCTGGACATAAGAAATGGGGAATTTGTGGCTGAAACCAGCATGAATTGGTTGAAACCAACCAGCTGAAACCAGCTGTATAGTCTCAACAGCTGCAGAAATAAGATTCAGCCTGATATTGTTATCTCATATTTGTTTTGTCTGTGTATTTCTGTTACATTCATACACAAAAAGCCATTTTAAATATCCTTTGTGTGACAATGTTTTGTACTGTCTACTATAAAACTGATTTTATAGGATAATGAAAAAAGCATTTGTGGGTCCCTAGAAGGCCACAGAAAGTCTTGTGACAGACAACAGGAGTTTTTCAAGAGTAAGTAAATGACAGAGCAATGTAATTCCTTCTATGAAAGGGTAACAGGTCTTTGCAGTCACAAATGTGTTTGCAAATGCTGTGAGAAATGATACCTGAAAGATTAAGGTGAAGTAAAAAGTTCAAAAAAACAGGAGCAAAAAAATGACCTGGAAATTATGAGCAAAAACCAAATGCTAAAAGAATTAGTACTAGTTATCCTAAAGAGAGCAAGAAAAGATAATTTTCAAATTTTGATAAAGGCTGTAAAACATAAGTTAACAGTCTGCCCCCAGTGCAGTGTGAGTCTAGTTCATATGCCTGTGCTTGTCAGAAATAAGCAGCCACACTGACAGCTTGGTTGTGGGATGCTGCAGGCTGGAGGGACACTATCTCAAGCTTCAGTTTTGTTTCCAAGGAGACAGATACCTGCTAACAGCCAGTAGCCCACCCTGTGGGTGCAGGGTCAGTCCTGGCAAACAGAGTAATGGAGATGGAGTCTCAAGGAAAATGAGGGATTTACCACTTTTTACAGAATTTCAGAAGCTCAGCATGGAAAATTTTGCCAGCAAGTGTATGAACCTGCCAGCATAAAACTGTACCCTACAGTATAGCATATACCACGCCCTACTGTTACCCTGTGTTTACACTGGCTGTAAGAAAACGTACTTTTCTGTTTGGGCTAGAACTGAAGGAAGCTCATTTCTTTACCCTGGCTGTGAAAATATCCCCCCCCCCCCCCAACAGAAATTTGTGTTATTCTGTTCAAGGTGTAAAAACTCTTAAAACTGCTAATTGTGTATGGTGCTGGCTTAATAGACACCCATAAATTGCTACAGTAGATAAGCTTGCTAAGCTTATTTCCTCACCTTGTTGTCTGGGGTAACTGTTACAGCCTGTTGCACTGACAATGATGTGTCTGTAGCTACTGAGTAATTGCAAAGACCTTGCACTGAATTGTAGAGATTCCCTGCATATACGATCTGAAATAGCTTATAGAAGACACACAAATATCATCTCTTTTGCATTCCCTGAAAAACACAGTGACTGAAGCAAACTGTGTTTGTGGAATTGAATATAAGGCGCATGGAAGTACAGGTGTGTGGATGAGAAGGATATATTATACGTCCAGTTCTTATGCTCTTAATTGGTAGAAATTTTAATTTCCATTACAAAAGTAATTTTCTGGACTGTGATTGCATTGTCACAGATGTATGCAGCAAACCTCATCTAGCCTTCCTCTTTCACTATCAGATTTATTCTCCACTGAATTGATGTGTCTCAGGTTCTTCCTCTCTTGCTGGGAGAAAATGAGGTCCTTCCCCAGGGGCAGGACTTATATCAGAGAACTGTGTGTTTGGGAGATTACTGAGAAGTCTATATGGTAAATTAATATTCCCTGTTCAGGCTCCACAGGTGGCTTAGCTGCTTCCTTAGGTTAGGGAGCTGAATCACAAACGTCAAGTTAAGACTCCTCAGCTCAGTCTTCCCACAAACTAATTTGATTCTAACCACCTGAGGCTGGGAGTTTTTATCTTTCTCTATTCTTTATGCTGAATTTGCTAATGTTTGGAAATGGGTGTTTTGTCTGGAAGTGGTAAAACACAGGGTTGGATTCAGGAGTTTGGGTTCAGTTGGTAGTTCAGGAATAGTAACAAGCCTCAGGGCAGCTTTTGCCATTCAAAAACAGTTGGGATGGATTATCTTTTGATGGGTTAAATATCCAGGACTGAAGAAGATGCTTTGCAATTAACTAAAGTTCAGCATTGCTAAATTGTAACAAAAGGAAGATCAATAATAAGATCTAACTATGAATTTCAGCTAGATTTGATAGGGAAATTAAGAAAAAAAAAATTAACAAATAGGAAAGGTAATACAAGGCTACACAAAACACATACCCAGTCAATTTTGCTCTATAGAATCATCAATGGCCACCCCCATCTGTAGGGTGAAATTAATGCTAATCAGTTGCAGGCTTGTACTGCAGATGAACTCAAACAAAAATCAGCTTCCATGCAGTCTACCCCAATATAACTGGAGGCCAATATTACAGCCATGTGCATATACATGTTATTAAAATATTATGCCCCAAAGTGTCAAATTCAAATAGATTTGTAACAAATTTTCATGCATATTTAACTCCTTTTAAAAACCTATTGTGGAAACCTTAAGAACTCAAATTTCTTTGAATCATTTCCGATTAATTTTTGCTGAGTTTTTAGAAGTATGCAAGTTTAGGTCTTGACTAAAAAATACTCATCTCTGATGATTTTAGTATTTTTTTTCCATGTGTATGCAAATCAGACACATGTACTGGACAAGGAGTCGGTTGTCAGGGGAAGTGGTTATGGAAAAATGATGAGTAATGTATTTCTAATAAAGTAATAATGCTTAGACCCCTCTGACATTTGCTACATGTTTAGTATAGCCAGTGATATTTGTATCCAGTATCACTGAGGGGGAATGAATAATTTTTTATTAAAAAGATGAGGAGGAGGAAGGAAAAACAGGAATTCAGAAAAATATGAAACATCTACAGCTTCTTTATGAATTACAGTTAACAGCACATATTGTATTATATTACATTCATGTTTTATAGTGCAGAACAGCTAATAACTCAAAAAGCCTTTGAACAAAGGATTTACAAAAGGAAAGGTCCTCAGCAGACACTAGCTAATTGCCAAAGGAGAGCAAAATACTGTTTATTATTACCCTGCCAAGTTTACATTTGTATGCTTTATTTTCCTGGACCAAGTCACCAAGGATTAGTAATAACAAAAATGTTGTTTAACAAAAATTTTGTTTAACAAAAATAACACTTCTTGGACAATAGAGGAGTGAGGGAGAAAAGGGAATGAAAGGAGATGTTAAGATAATTGTGGCATACACACTGAAATAGGTTTAAATATTTGGAAAGAAGAATGGCTTAATTGCATGGCAGCAGTCTTGCATGACCATAATGTAGTATCTGTCTGCTATGCTACATTACTCTGAAGGCAAGCAGCTTGTTACAGGTGTGAGAATTCAACAGCAGGGAAAAAGTAAAAAGAAAGGTCAGTATTTATACCAGTGTAAAGTTTTTGGCTAATCTCATGTGTTATTTTATCTTCAGTCCCTCTGCATCCTACAGCACTTAGTTCCACAGAGATACTTGAGAATAAACATTCTGAGATCGATTTTCTCTGATGCTGTTTTATTTCAGCTTATTATGAGTCTGGACTAAAGCCAACTGTAAAATTTAGATCTGAGTTAAATTTCTAAACCCTTCCAAATGTCAGGGTGGTCTTATCGAAACTTTTATTTCCAGTTTCTCTCTTCTATCAGAACCCAGATGGGGAGGTGGTTCTTCAGCATTTTCAAGTGATCTTTAACTACAGATCTTCTTCATAAAGAAAGCAGAAAGTGTACTGTGGAAAAATATGTCAGATAAGAGCAATGACTTTGATTCACTGTTGCTGCTGAAACAATTCTGGACGTGTCCACAGATTTTCTGTCTCCATTTGGATGTCCTCTCTCTGAGAGGACATCTCAGAGAAAATCTCTCTGCCACATCTGTCTGCAATGGTTCACCACTGATGAGCAACAAATGGGGCTTTGGCCTTGCCTGTGGCTGGTCCTCAGGGGTGGAAGCAAGCATTTGTCAGGTCCATACTCCTTGCACGGTGGCTATCCAGCAAGCATCCTTTGCTTAAGCCAGGAGTGCTTTTGGCAGCCATGGGGGCAGCAAGGAAAGGTGATGTCGCACATGGCTTCCTACAAGGGCTGTCTTTGCTGCACGCTGTGTGCTACCACTCACCATCTGCAAGTGGGGAAACATGTCTTCTGCTCAAGGAACTGTGCTCCCTGATGCCCTCTATGAGATGCTCTCCCTGCTTGAGTGGTGATGAACTGCCAAACACCAGCTGGAAAATAGCAGAAAGGGCTCCCCAAAACCATATACAGCTTCGCTGATTTTATTTACCTATATACTTCCTACTTTAAGGCCTCAGGACACTAAAATTATGCCTCCTACCAGTGTAGCCTTGAAATGTTGTTGTTAAAAAATGCATTAAATACCTTCTTGTTCCTAGCATAATGTGACATAAAATAAGAACAAGCAAACAAAAAAAAAAACAACTGTCAGAAACCTCTCAGGAAATCTTGTCAAGGGTCCATGCAAAGAACATAACACTTTTTCATGTAAATCAAAACATTTCAACTAAAAATTTATGTGTAAAAAGACATAGTTCATATGCCACTGTGCTACAGTTTCTTCTTTCTAAATGGCTGCTAGAGGACCACCAAATCAGACTCCACAAAGAATAGAACTAGGCTGAATTTTAATTTACTTCTTTTTTTTTTTAATGAGAAATTGATTTTACAGCTAAACTGGTATTTCCTAATGAAAAACCTATAGTTGCAAAATTTCAACCAGCTCTGCCTATCTTTAAGCACGCTCAGACTCCAGTGACTGTAACTCATGTTTCTCCCCTTTTTTATCACTTCAGGTGTTGTATTCCCTTACTCTCCACGGCTGGGTCGTTACAACTTAAACTTCCATGAGGCTCAGCTAGCCTGCCGGGACCAAGACTCTGTTATCGCCTCCTTTGACCAGCTTTACGATGCCTGGAGGTCAGGGCTGGACTGGTGTAATGCAGGCTGGCTCAGTGATGGCTCCGTGCAGTACCCCATCACCAAGCCCAGGGAGCCCTGCGGAGGGAAGAACACAGTCCCTGGGGTCAGGAATTACGGGTTCTGGGATAAAGATAAAAGCCGATATGACGTCTTCTGTTTTACTTCAAACTTCAATGGTAAGAGTCTTCTTCACTCCTAGCTTGTAAATGACTGTTTCTGTGCTTAGGAACGAAACTCCCATGGCAGCAAAGACATATGTGGTTTGTCAAAGCTTATGTTAGGCTTGGAAAATTTTATTGTTGAATTTACAAGGGCTCTTGCACAGAGTAAAGTTTTCTTTGCCACATGCTCATGTAGGCGGTTTTTACAACTCAGAACTTGTATTGGCAGGAGTTTCTAATATCTCTGCCATCACCCTATTAAAATTTATGTGTACTCTTTTAGTGTTGATATATGCCCTGTTTATTTCTTAAAGTGATGAAGAAACCTGTGATTCATTAATTGAGCTTTCCTGTTGAATTCAATTATAATTATGATGGTTTGCAACTCAACTTTGTCACCAACACAAAATTCTGATCACCACTTTGTGCTGTTGTGTCAAGCAGCTCCTGCTCAAGTACTAGGTCTAATAGGATTAATACTTCCTTATCAGCAAACCTATTTCTAGCTTTTATGCCTGATAATTTAGATCCCTAATCTTAGTACACTGCTAAAACATGTTCACTTTTGCTCTGAGCTTGGTCTGCTCTAAACTTTATTTTAGTGACCGCAAGGTTTTTTGTTGTTAATAGATGTTACTTTAGGTATGAAATTACTTGATATCAGCTTGCTATCATTTCAGGTTTAATCTAGTGGCTGAAGAGGATTTAGAAAACATTGCTGTGAATGAGAGGAACACTGCAAGTAAACATGTGCAAAAGAGTTCTACAATCCTCTACAACACCGTACTTGTGGATATTCCTACACAACTTTGCACATGTTTGGCTTGCAACCCACCCAGACCAAAGAGCATGCACTTTTTTGGTTATGCACAGATTGCTTATCCACAATGAGGCATTTTTGTCCTGCAGCACACCAAAAAATAAACATAAGCCTTGCTCTCAAAATCATAGAATTGTTTAGGTTGGAAAAGACCTTTAAGATCATTAAGTCCAGTGAACCCAGCACTGGCAAGTCCACCACTAAACCATGGCCCTAAGCACCACATCTAAAAATCTTTTAAATATCTCCAGGGACAGTGACTTCACCCCTGGCCTGGGCATCCTGTTCCAATGCTTGACAACCCTTTTTTTAATATCCAACCTAGACCTCCCCTGGCCCAACTTGAGGCCTTTTCTTCTTGTCCTGCCACTTGTTACTTGGGCAAAGAGAATGACCCCACCTCCTGCCTCCATCCTCCTTTCAGGTAGTTTTACAGAGCGATAAGGTCCCCCCTGAGGCTTCTCTTCTCCAGACTAAACACCCCAGTTCCCTCAGCCATTCCTCATCACACTTGTACTTCAGGCCCTTCACCAGCTTCCACTTCTTTGGAAGATAGATATGCTCTAGTGCTAATTCTGCTACACATTCTCAAACTCAACACCCCCCATCCCCCCCCCCCCCCCCCCCCCCATATCCTGAAACTAAGAATATTAAATTAGGCTGGATGCAGTCAGAAAAAAAAACGTAGCTATTTTCATCATGCTGCATTATTCCATGAAATGCTGGCTCATGTTTTTCTTGCCTGATTTATCCAAGGCAAAATCCTATATGAGCTCATCTCTTATATGCAGATTTAGTCTGTACTATAGAAATAGTGTTGAGAAATAAAATAAACAAGGAAAAATAATTAAAATGTGCTAGGTGCACTATTTATAATGTTTGCAGAGTAAATGTTTTTGACTATTGCTCATTAATGGGCACCCTTTTCCACACTAGCAGCTCAACAATTCCTCAGTATCTCTTAATGAAAGAGAATAAAAAAAATCTGAGAGAAAAAAAAAAGAGACGCTCTGACAGGTAAATATTGTCTGTGCATTGATACAGAAAGACATGGTTAGAAGGAGAAAGAGGAATGAGGTAGGGTGAGAATAAGGTTAAAGGCAGCAATCAAAGACGGGGCACAAAATTAATGCCATCCTTGGTGAGTCTGTTAAACTGACCTGCAAGACAGAAATCTACACAACCGTAGGATGATATATAGAGCTAAGCACCATCTTCTCTAGTTCCTTACAGCTCAGTGTTCTCTCAAGGTGTCAGGAGAAAATCTGGGCTTCTGCTTCTCTCAGCATCCATTTTCTTAACCAGAAACTCACCAAGGTATGTTATCCTCACATGTCCCTGCTATGTTCCCCACTTTTCATGTCCCAAGCTTACCTCAATAGCCACAGTAAACCCAGTCAGTCTCCCAAAATACCAATTACCTATTTTCAGCTCAATAGTTCAGATAGTTCATGTATGCTTAACAGCATATGTTAACTTTCTCACTGTAAAGGGAAAAGCTTATAATAACCCATTTAGCCGCTGTCTTTGGCTGCAATTGCCAAAGACAGTGGCTACAGGCAAAGAGCTATTTCCACAACACCCAATATTGATTCTGTCAGTTCAGGAAGAGCCAAGGAAAATGAGAAGTGGTTAGAACACCATGCATTTCCAGCAATGGCAGTGACTGCTGGAGTCTCCTAACAGTGTGAAACAGAGAAGCTTTCAGCTTTATGTAAGAGAGCTGGGAAAATGCTAAGGGCCCCAGTATAAGGCAAGCCCAAAAAAACCCAAAAATAATCTCAAAGAGAGTCAGCTGTGGGAGTCGCTATAAAGACAGAGGATAATGCAATTTAGATTTCTGCTAACTGGGTGCTTTTTAGGGAAAGAAATTCCCCAAATACATTACAATATCAGGGATTATAACAAAAAATAGGACTTAAAGAGTTGGCAGTCAAAGCAAAAGGTCTTTACCTAAATTCCTAAATTCCACACAATTCTGTTTGGTTTGTTTTTTGTTTTTTGTCTTTTTCCTGAAGAAGAAAGCTACAAAACAGGAAAATTACATTGAGCAATTAAAGTGAAAAATGAAAATGTAGTCATCAATCGATTGAATTCAAATCCAGGTTCAGTGTCTTTACTCTGGAACTGCTGGATCCCACCTGTGATAAGCTGAATACACAAAAAAAATACTGGTTAAAAAGGGGGTTTGTACCTTTAATGAATAATTCTATATGCATTCCTGCTACGTGCAAAAGACAATTGTTTTAGCAAAGTTTATCTGCAATTCAATGTAAAATGATCTTAGTCCTTTATAAAATTACCCTCTATGGTGTCTTTTCTTAGACTTGAACAGTTTGGTTTTGCTTATTTTACTGCTTCATACTCAACTCTTTCTTGTGCTCCATAGAAGAACTGTTCGTGTTTTGTGTCTGTACAGGCAAAGCGAAAAGTATGTTTCCTACACTTTGCATATAGTAGTACCGGTTTATTAGAATATACAGTGATGCATTTCATAAAACAATGCAAAGAGTAACAGTCGCATAATGCTATCCATTAAACCATCAAAATATTTGAAATAACATGTTTTTTATTTGTAGAGATAACTATTGGTTGGCACCATCTTGCTTTTACATCCCTCATATTGATAAAGGCTATTGAAAATGAATATACGAAAGTGGGAAATATCTCATGTAAATTTGGAAATTTTCCCAATGTCTGTTTCCTCCCCTGTATGGTGGGACAACCTGACACAATCCAAAGCTTCTTTAAGGGCTGCAGACCACCCCAATTTCTCTCCCTGCCCTGTCCCAAGGAATGGGGATGCTCCTCTTCCGTACAGTCCCTCTAGAAAGTCAATTTGGGATTCTACAATTTAGGGGAATAAATGCAGATAAATCTTTTTATTGAAGTCTGTCTCACAGAGCCACGAGGCATAGCACAAAGAATATACAATTGTAGAGCTGGGTGTTTATTCTTTGCTTAATTTCAAAGGTCTTCTGAAGGAGAACAGCGAGATTCTGTAAGGAAAAGCCTAAAAATCCATTGCACTGAAAAGTGTTAAGACAGCTAAATATAAACATATCTATCAGCTTCTCTATAATTAAACATTTTGAAAGAAAAAATATAAATAGAAGTTGTGTCACACTTTCTGCTCATTAACATGCATTTTGTTCTATACATTGCACACAGAACCACAGCACATAATTGATTTGTTATCAGCTCTAGCAGAATCAAGTAAAAATCTCATGTTAACAAAGTTAAAAATACAAAAAAAATTTAAGGATCATGTTAAAAATGCAGCTGTGAACCACCTGCTTGTTGTAGTAATGTGTGTGGGAAGATAACTACCACAAACCACTGAAATGGGAGAAGGATCTAGAAGGTCATCTCTAATGCATGTTGACTGCTTATTTGAACATTTCAGAATAAAATTCTGAGAATCAGTGGGAATGTGTAGCCATTGTTCCAAAAAGAGAAATAATGACACCCAAAGGGCCTGTAGGGACAGGACAAGGGGGAATGCCTTTAACCTGACAGAGGGGAGACTGAGATGAGCTCTTAGGCAGAAGTTCTTCCCTGTGAGGGTGCTGAGGCCCTGGCACAGGTTGCCCAGAGAAGCTGTGGCTGCCCCATCCCTGGCAGTGTTCAAGGCCAGGTTGCACAGGATTGGAGCAACCTGGTCTAGTGGAAGGTGTCCCTGCCTGTGGCAGGGGGTTGGAACTGGATGAGCTTTAATGTCTCTTCCAACACAAACCAGTCTGGGACTCTATTAACATTTTCTTAGAAGTGATTGCTTCTGAGTCACTGGAATCACTGCTGATACCAGGTGGTGGGTGGGGGTATGTGAAAAAAAAATATTCTCATATATTTAATGTAGCAATTCAAAATCTGTTTATCTGAGGTGATCACTGGATATGAAAATGCTTATCAGGACCCTATGATGAAATAAACAGAAAGCACCTCACTTTGCAGAAATTTTTAACATGTTCTTCAATTTTGAGAAGCAATGGACTTGCTCAACAATTTAGTACTCATAGAGTCCTCAAATGGTTTGTGTTGGAAGAGACTTTAAAGCCCCTCCAGTTCCAACCCCCTGCCACGGGCAGGGACACCTTCTGCTAGACCAGGTTGCTCCAAGCCCCGTCCAACCTGGCCTTGAGCACTGCCAGGGATGGGGCAGCCACAGCTTCTCTGGGCAACCTGTGCCAGGGCCTCACCACCCTCACACGGAAGAACTTCTGCCTAAGAGCTCATCTCAGTCTCCCCTCTGTCAGGTTAAAGCCATTCCCCCTTGTCCTGTCCCTACAGGCCCTTGTCCAAAGCCCCTCTCCAGGTTTCTTGTAGCCCCTTCAGGCACTGGCAGCTGCTCTAAGGTCTCCCCTTAAGGAGCCTTCTCTTCTCCAGGCTGAACCAGCCCAGCTCTCTCAGCCTGTCTCCAGAGCAGAGCTGCTCCAGCCCTCACAGCGTCTCCATGGCCTCCTCTGGACTTCCTTGAGCAGGATGTGAGATATACTGAACTGAGTCTGCTGAACTCAGGTATACACATTGTAGAAGTCACAGATATACACTGCTGGCTGCTCAGATTGTCTCTTATGGCCATATGAAATCACAAATTAGAGCACAGTAAAACTGAACTGGTTTCTGTGGCCATTTTCAGCACAGGGCTGCAGAAGTCATTCCCACACTTGGCATTTCTCCTGCATGTGCTGCCATGTACCAAGCACAGCTTGCTGCTCATATGCCCCTGCACAGCACCAAAGCCATGAATCTTGTCAAGAGGTTACCCCAGCAAACCATAAGCCACTGGGGGTAGTGTTAGGGCTTAGGTACTCCATGGCTGACTGCAAGTGGAGGCATCCTTCCTGAGAACTTCACCAAGATCCCTCTTTCTAAGGCACTCCATTAGCACTTAATACAGGAAATAGCAAATGTGGTGATACTGACTTTCTGTGCCTCTGAAGAGGATGTCCACTGCCTAGTACACCCAGCTGCACTATAAAAGCTTACTAATGAATGGCTCAATTTAGAGCTGAGCTTGGAAAAGTCTCCAAGGGTGGTGCAGCACTCAGACACCCACAGTCACAGTGATATATTTATATCACAGTCACAATGATATAAAGTATTAAAGTGCTCAGGTTTTCCTGTTTAAGCTGTTCTGCTACATGCAAAACTTAAAATAGTTATTATAGCTGGGGTTTGATTAGGTCTGCATAAACCTTCTGCCCCATGATTTGTATGTGAGAAGTCAAATCAAGCATGCTTATCCTCTGTAGGAGTGACCCGACTACAGAATGTTAATGAGAGAGACACAATTAATGCCTCTGTCCACTAAATTAAAATTGAACAGTTAGAAACCCCTCTAACCTATTAACAGGGGAAAACCAGCAAATCTGTACCAACATTATTAATAGAATTAATCAGACATTCTGGATACACAATGCACCCCTGTGGGGTTTACTATTAAAGTTCCCCTCTTTGAGGAAAAGGCAGTGTATAAGAGTTTATATTATTGATGTCATATGTCAAAAGCCTGACTTTACTGCAAATCCCTAGGAAATTACGTTCAATTGACATATGGTTTGGAGAGCAACTAATAAGATAGATGAAGTTTAAACACTATCAGTCCAAATCCCTCTTCCCTTAAGTCTGAATCCAAATCCCTGTTCCCTTAAGTCTGAAATCGTGTTTGCTTTGGGGGAATCTCTTAACAACATAGTAGGAACGGGTTTCCACTTGATAAACTTCTCTTTAGCAACACCTTGTAAATGCTTTCAAGTTGCTTAAATTGAGTTAAGCAAGCATTTTACAAAAGGCAAGATTATCTCCACTCAACAGTTTTTCTGTGGAAATACTGTAGAAATTGTCTTTGACAGCAATTAAATATTTTAAACACTTCTCCACCGCAGCTGCAATGCCTTTTTTTTTTTTCCTTAATGTTCATATCAAGGTATACAATTTCCAACCTTTACAAGAGGTTAATTCAATTATCTTTACATTGTCATCTGAATGGACATTTCTTTGCTTAGCAAAAAGTGGGCTTTGCAGGGTTTTGGAGCTGACCTAACTCTTCATCTTGCTCATCGCTTTTTCTTCACCAAGAAAGTAATCTGAAAATGAGCAGAATTGTGTCTGTATGTTTGCCTGGATTTTATAAGGAAGAAAAAGGATATTATTCTGGACTACTTTCTTAATTAAGAAGTAAAGAATGTGCTCTGGAATGAGAAGATTCCCACATAAATAAATTTGTATGGTTTTTAGCTAACTTGCCTCTTACAGGACAGTCAGATTGAAAAGTTATAAATTTATTTGGAAATTATTATTTCTTCAAATAAACGCTATTCCTTTCTGATCCATTTCTATCTCACACTTGGTTAATTGTCAGATCAGTGGTGCTAATGAACGAAAGGCTTACAATGACTTTATATTTCCTTGATAAATTAAATTAATGTTAGTATTATTGCTGCTTATGGATTAGTAGGGGAGACTTTCTTTTTGAGCTTTACTTGCTGCCATATGTTTTTATTACCTTGAGATGGGAGGGCACGTTTTTCTTAGCAGCACTATCAGTTCAGTGCTGTCTTACAGTGAGGATATATATACCCTTTGATGCCTAAAGAGAAACAGAGCTTCACAACTGCTGCCCATGCTTTTGACACTGCTAATGAAGATTTAATGACAGGCATGGTTTTGATCTACCACAGACTCAAGTTCTGCTTCCAAGGAGCTATGCAATATCTCAGCTTTCTTAAAGATAAATAAATAAGTAAATGAAAATGCTGCTTGTACTTAACCAGAAACAAGGTCACCCACTGCCTTGACAGAGAGTAAATCTTCGGGACCCCCTCACCCAAATGCTATCAAGCCCAGATCTCGCTATGCCATGCTTCTGAGAGGAAAACCTGTAAGGGTCTTCAGCTAATGCTGGGAGCACCATGTAGAAGTGCACTGCTTTGGATGTTTGACTGATTTCCCTTCTCTGACAGTAAGCTACAGCTTTATGAGATCTGCTTTGGCTGAAATCTGTGGTGTTCCTCAGTTGTTTCACTGGATTGTCGTTGGCATCATGTTGGTAAAAGCCTCTTGCACTATTATGTTAGAGGTAGAGCAGGTACTGTCCTCCAAATCCCAAGGTGTCTTCCATCATCCCTCTCTCCCAGTCTTTTTTTTCCTGATTTTCTACCTCTGAGGATGAAAACACATTACAACAGTTCAGTTACCACTGAACGTAACTGAGGGTGGGGATGCCACGCTGTGCTATGCCAGCAGAAGTAAATATAGCACTACTGTTATGTACAAATAGTCTGTGATCTCTACACCACACTTTTTTTTTACATCTGATATTTATGAACACACCATAAAAAAAAAGATATTTTTAACAGTGCACATATAAACATTGCATAGTCACAAATGAACCACTGTTTGATATGATTCTGCAGTAGAACGTCTCAGTTTCTCCTCAAAAGCCATTGTGATATTGTCACATCATCTTAATTAGGAATATAGGAATTCTTTCCTCTGAGGATGGTGAGGCCCTGGCACAGGTTGCCCAGAGGGGCTGTGGCTGCCCCATCCCTGGCAGTACTCAAGACCAAGCTGGACAGGGCTTGGAGCAACCTGATCTAATGGAAGGTGTCCCTGCCTGTGGCAGGGTGCTGGAACTGGATGATCTATAAAGTCTCTTCCAACCCTTCCTACCCAAACCATTCCATGATTCTATGATCCAATCCATGATCATATTCCTAATGATCCTTTTTTCTTCTTTCCCTTACTAGGTCGTTTTTACTACCTAATTCACCCAACCAAGCTGACCTATGATGAAGCAGTTCAGGCGTGTTTGAAGGATGGAGCTCAGATTGCCAAAGTTGGCCAGATCTTTGCTGCCTGGAAGCTCTTGGGTTATGACCGTTGCGATGCTGGCTGGCTGGCTGATGGCAGTGTCCGCTACCCCATCTCCAGGCCAAGGAAACGCTGCAGTCCTAACGAAGCAGCTGTTCGCTTTGTAGGCTTCCCTGATAAAAAGGACAAGCTGTATGGTGTCTACTGCTTCAGAGCATACAACTGAAAATACCTAGAGCACGAAAGTCTTAAATTCATTAAGAACATGTGAAAAATTTCTTTTCAATATGAACTCATGCAAGTTACCAAAACTGTGATAAACCTTTTTTGCTTACTGTACGAGTCTTTTTCATAAACCAAACCCATTAATTTTTGCTTTATTTGTTTTTTTTTTTAGTATTTTTGTGAAAGTACCATTCCATAGATATTTTAAGTTAATATAATTTAATGGAAGCTCTAGGTAAGGAAGTTTTAGAGCCAGATTCTTTCAGCTACATCATCCCAACAAAGTACACTTTTCATGATTGGGGCATGCAATAGAGCTTGGTGATTGCTAGGGCACAATTATGTAATGTAAGGCTACTCAAAACAGAAGCTTTTAAAAGCACAGTTTGAGAAACATTGCAAATTAATTATAACATGAATTTTGAAATAAGATAATCTTTTTTGTTAAAGGGGATAAGTGAGGTTTTGCAAAAACCCTCACAATAACGTAGGTTAGGAAATAACTTTTTTTCACTGGTTTTGCATAGGAATAACACAGAATTTAATAAAAGGAGATAGAACAGTCCAAAAAAAATAGGACGAGTTCTAAAATCTAAAAACTTACCTTTCTGAAAATTAAGCTTATACATAGGAACAAGCGCAATTAGTTGTCCTGAACATTTTTATTGTGGTTTTGTTGTGTATAAATCGATAATGAGGGGGTGAATAATTAACTATTGAGAAAACCTTGGTTTTTGTCTTAGCTCTTATTAAAGATGCCTAAATGTTGCATTACCTTTGAGTAGCTTTACTGAGTTATTTTTAAACTCTTAAAGGCCATTTGCTAAGCAGCATATAGCATCTACTCAGGGCAGTTGCATAAATGAACTGCTGGACAGAGAAAATATAAACTTTAGCAGCTTGATTTTACATTAGCCTTTGAAATGTTATTGTCTTAACAAAATAACATTACAACATTCAATATTCTCACCTATTTATACATCATAAGAAATAAAATTAGAAAAAAAAACATTAAAATTATAAGGTGTTAGAATAAGATTATTAAAATCTGAAACCAGCTATTAACATTTAGAAGAAAAAGAAAAAACAAACCACACTTCATTTCCTTACATCTTATTTGTATCTAAAAAGTATATCTGCTTTTTAAACTATCAATGAAAAAATAGTATTACTAGCCCTGAATTATTTAGCTAATCCTCTATGGAGTTAACAGAAAAAAAAAAAAATAACAAAAAAATCTATTGAAATACTTCTTTTCTCTGCAGCAGTCTAGGTGGAAGATGTTTACCTCTATCTGCCAGTGTCAGAGATAAACATGCACTGTGCATGGTGCCTAGGATTTTCAGAGCTGTCTAAAGCACTAGGTCCTCCCTAAATACCAATTTGAGGGAATCTGGATTTCTGATGCAAACTGATTTTGGATGCAGCAATTCTTGGTGCTCATCTTCAGATACCTTAATGCAACCAGTTTTTCAGAGAGTAGGTGCTCAAGGCTTTCTGAAAATTCACTCCACTTATGGTGTCTCAAGCTGGATATCCAAAAAACAAAGAGGCCACTGATTAAAAATATCTTGGTCTTGAGTAATCTTTTAGGCAGTTTTGATGATCTCTGTCCAGTATTGATTCTACCACTTAAGAATGGAGAACTCTTTTTCCTATTCTGTGCTTGCTGACTACGAAGATTTCAGAGGACCAATATTTGTATTTTGCAAAGTTTTATAGCTTCCCAATGTTTCCATAGCTCAATGAGATTTAGTGGTATTTATCCAAGTAGGACACAACTGTTGTGCTTTCATGAATGGTTTGGTGTAGTGATTTTTCCATGGACATGAGTAAATAAATCTCTTTCTTGGAGTGGTTGTGGTCCTGTTTTAAAACTCTGTTAATAAACTAGGAATAATAAATGGTAGGTTTGTAGTCAAAAGATACAGTAACATGAAGGGTATTTTGTTGGAGTTCATTCCCATCAAGCTCAGAGGAAAATTTCCATCTTTCTGAGGATATTGGCATCCAGTATGGATATTTGCTTATATTGTACTCTTGAAGCAATCTAGGTGCCAAACCCCTATTCCTCTATTCCTCTTTTCTTAATCCACTAGGATTTCAATTTTCATGAAGCTGTATCACCTAGCTATAAACAGAGACTTACTACAGGGCAAACCCCTAAACCCATGTAATCTTTACCAAACAGCAAATTTTTTAAATCAGTGTTCATTTCACACATTTTCTCAGGGCATTCAGAACTTTTTCTGAATCCCCTGGAGAAAAAAAAAAGTGGAAATGGAAAGAGAAATTGAAAATATGCATACAGGAAAAGGAATGGGATATGCAAGACCAGACCACGACCAAGAGGAATACATTTTAGTCTCGCATCCAGCCTTCAGAAACATGGAAAAAAGGTTCAGACTATTTCATTGTCTTTTCTGAAGCTTGGACAGGCAGGTTATGGGATGGGAAAAGATATAGGAAATGTCCCAGTTGTTATCCCAGCTGGATCCAGAGCTGCTGTAAAGAGGGAAGCCTTTTATGCAGCTGGTTCTAGGCTCTATCCTCCCTGAAGATCTGCTGGATCTGGAGGAGGCTGCATGGTTTTCCTATTGCACAGAGGTGAAGAGACCCTCATGAAATTTTATGTTAATGTTTTACCTCTCCAGGGAAACCCTCCACAGGGTTCCACCCAGACACATCTTTTGTTTTTTTTGCAGGACTGGGGATGATATTTTGCCTGCATAAAAAAATGTACACATCCAACCCACTCATAGGGCTGGCTGAAGTGCCCTCACTGCTAGACCAAAGGCACTGCGGGAAAGGTGAATTCAGCCTTTCATCAACTTTGCAAAGCTCTGGAGATGGCTGGTCAGGTCCTAAATCACAGCGATCTCAGGCTTGCACTTGCTTATGCCTTCTGTGTCCATACTCTGGGCTGCCACCATGACAGCCCAGGTGTAGCATCCCCCCCAACCCACCCCTTCTTTGTGCATCACCCTTACCCTGGGCTGGTGGCTGAGCAGGCTCTGCACCACCCAGGTGATCCCTCAGCTACGGGGACAGCCCCTGAGCTCCCAGCTTGGCAGCACAAAGAGGCCACAAGGCAACAAAGGAGTTGGGTCTCCAGATTGATGCTGAGCTGGTGTACGATCACAGATGGCCAAATTTATCATTTCAGTTATGCCTGTAAGTTTGCATTTGAAGATACTGCTAGCTAAAAATCATATGTTCATGTAGTGGAGTCACGTATGAGAATTTGCATTCATCATGTTACTTACAAAAAGATCAGTAGTTTACCTTGGGATCAGGCTAGATTTAGATCTGTATATTGATATGCAACATTATGTATTATTGTAGCAGATACAGATAATTGGATAATTTGATGAAAATATGTTTGTATGAAAAAATAGTTCTAATGTAAGCAGGTAACAAAAAAAAGCGAAACATAAAAAGTGTATGATTACCTGAGAAGTGGGCACAAATAGAAAAAAAGACACGAATTGTATTTATTCTTACAGCTACTGACTCCAGTTCCTTTTATAATATCAAATGTCAGAAAGTTCTCTTATTTTTGACTAAACTAGCTAGGTGCTTGGATAAAAACTTTAAAAACCAGCTTAAGAACTGGATAAAAGTCTGTGCCATTTTCTGACCATGAGAAAATATTCTATCAATACAGTCAATTAATATTCTCTATCATTATCTTGTATTTCACAATGTAACTGAATTTTAATGCCCATGAACTGACAACAATTAAATCATGTTGTTCTTTTCAGTATGATTTCTCCTTATTGACTGGCCATTCCTGTACTTCTGTCCCAGGAAACACATAAAGGAAATGAATAGATCAAAGTATGAAAATACTTACTTTGCCATCATAAACATAGTGGTTACAAGACTAAGGGGGAAAAAAAAAAAGCAGAAAACCAACAAACAAAGCCTACTCTGTGAATATGATTTACTATGAAAATAAAGAAAACTGTATTCCGAAGTCTTTCTTTTATGCTTCTTTGAAGCATTTTGGAAGTAGAAATGCGAGTAAAAATTTGTCTTCTCTGCCATCTTCTAAAATAAAGTAAAGCATAAATAAGAAAGGCTTTTTTATTATTATTATTGTACTGTTGGTGTTACACTGCATATACAGGACTAGAAATTTGACACAGAACAGTGTTTCGTGTATGGGGAAAATTATGAAATTATTTATATCATCCTATGCCTTTAGAAATTAAAAGACAAGACAAATCAATCTTTGCAATGTGCAAAGAGAAAGATTTCCACTGTCAAGCAAAGTATTAGTTACTCAAAGCACTGGGCCAGCTTTTCAGCTTCTGTATTAACACTATTTCTGAGTTGTTTTATTGATCTGTGCAGGGAATTAACCCTGAAAGTAACCTACACTACACCACTTCACTGAGAAATAATAATCTTACAAAAGTTTTCAATATATCAGATGTATTTTAAAATAGATGACAAAGAGCATAGAAAAACTTGTCACTCAAAATAAGGGAAATATGTATTACCATGAATAAATGATTGAGACAAACCTACTTATTTTCTAACAATTTAGTAAAACCAGTTTTAAAACTAATAACAATTTCACTCTACAACATTAAGCATAAAATTAAAACTGCTTTTTGTAGAAGCAATCAGCCAATAATTAGGATTTACTTAATAGTAGAAGCTCCCATTGAATGACATCTCACGGTTCAAAAGGGAGGCACTGTCTTCTTGTTTGGAAGTGACTGGATTTAAGACTTGGTGGAACTACCACAAAACTAGAAATGTCTAGATTTTCACCTAAAGACTTTGTAAATGAAGGAGTAGGCTTCCGTTCTATTTAGCCTTTCTTACATTTGTTCACAGAGAGTACTATCAGTTTTCTGTTTAACAACAGCAGCTGGTTGTTCTACTTGAAGGTTTTAAGAAACTGAATCTTACACATTTGTCAGCCATTTTCTCCCTCTTTCAGAAGCAGGTACAAAGATTAAACAAATATGGTGCAGAGCAGTAAAATTCCAGTGCCAGGTAATTTACTATATAAAGAGACAAAATTTCTCAGGGTTTCAGATCAAAAAACCCAAGGTAACAAGCAGTTTTATTTTAAGAGCAAGGCAAGATGAACTCATGAAAAAAATTACTACTGAAAAATAATTAATAATGACTAGTGAAAAATAATTACTCCTCTTCCCATGCCATGAATAGGGATGGTCCCCTTAAAGCAGGGGTGACCTGAAAGAATCTTTAAGAAGAAAAAGAAAAAAAAACTGAAAGCAATTCTTTAGCTCCTGATCTTTCACACTGGGTTTGCCTTTGTTATATTTTACCCAATAATTATTAACCACAAGTTTAAATGTATAATTAAAATAAACCCAACAGATTAGCAATAAATTAAGA